CAGGTTGCCCAGAGAGGTGGTGGCTGCCCCATCCCTGGAAACATTCAAGGTGAGGTTGGACGGGGCTCTGAGCAACCTGATCTAGTTGAAGATGTCCCTGCCCACGGCAGGGGGGTTGGACTAGATGACCTTTAGAGGTCCCTTCCAACCCAAACCACTCTGTGATTCTATGATTCATTGGCGACGTGTAAACTATAAATATCCCAGGGAGGTAGAGAAGCAGTGAAAGACATGCCCTACCTAGTCATGATTACTGGGCGTTCTTTTATTATGGCCTAGGTAAGCCTCGTTCTTCCCAGACCTGGTATTAGCAAGGCCCTATCTCTGCAGTTCTCACCTTGACTTTGCTCAGGTAATGCAAAGTACAGGGCTCCCTCTGTACATGTACACCCTATTTTTAGAGGACAGAGCAAAGCAGCATAAATAGGGAACTGAGCGTGGCCTGAACTGGGGAGCGAGGGGGGCACTGACTGGTAGACCAGCGGCCAAATCCAGCCCACAACATGAGCCTGTCTAACCTGCTACGTTTAGCCTCACTTCCAGAAAGTCAGCAGACAGAAGGCAACAGCTGAGTGGTCTCCACTGCACCAAGACAAATTCAAGCGTTTTCGTCCATCAGATGCAATCTTACCTGGTTTGTAAGGAGGTGGCCCAAAACGGACATCGGATTTCCAGTGCTGAAAGGTTTGGTCCGTCCGGGCCTACAGAGATCACTGACATGCCATCCATGGTAATGGATGCGATAGAGATGGCGGGGTAGGTGATACAGCATTTCCACTTTGTAGAGCATGTGTTTATGTAAGCATGTCAAATGTGTATTTTGCAAACAAACGTACACTTTGCATTGTGCCAAAAATTCAGCCTGTATCGCTTTAAAAAAGAGTAAGAAAAGTTTACAGGTATCTACAAAGACTAATGTGAGCATGCAATGAGAATACTTTTGACTTTTTATTTTAGTGGAGTACCGTTTCCATGCAAAATACTACAGTGGTATCTCTCTTTGTGTTTCTTGCGGTATTTCTTATTAAAAGTGGGAGACTCAGGCAAAGATGGTATATCTTCCTACAGCAAAGTGCAGAGGCAGGTTTGAATTCTTGTTAAGCCACTTACAGTGAGGGATTAAGAACGAAGATACAAATTTCTGCCAATGTTGTTCATCACGACTAACTTGAATTACATATTAAGTAATTGCTATGCAGCTTTGGAATTATTTTGAGTAATATGAAGGCAAGCTTCTGCTCTATCTAGATTTTTAACTGTTTTTATTAGGAGATGTGAACGTGTGGCATACGGTTTTGTTTACGTGTCATTTTACAGAACATTTCTTCTTAACATAATTCAGTTCAAAGCTTGATCCATTCATATAAGAGGTCGTGGGATCAAGGCCTAATCAGGTAATATTTAAGACACTAATATAGAAGACTTATTTCTGAAAATTAAAAGCTGAATAAAAAGACATAGGAATATTAAGTCATTGTTAATGCCTTTTTGAATCAAAAACTACCAAAACCTGTCGTCTTAATCAGTGCTTGTACAGCTGTGCTAGAGTAATGATTTTCTTGGGGCAGCAGGACATTGCTTTGACATTCTGCTCATTTATAAAACTGATAAATTTAGCCAAAGAAGACCGAAGGGGGCACGGCAGCAATCTTCACATCCCAAAAGGCTGGGAAATCCATTCACATACCCAAAAGGGAAAGAAATAATCTCCTTCCGCCAGGGCTGAGGGCAGAGAGGGTAAGAACCACACTGGCACGGCATCACCAGACTAAGCCACCCTCATGTCTGGGGGCCCCCCGCCTGTGCCGCCTGCAGGCCGCACGTAGCTGAGGCAGGCGTTACGACCCGCGTCCCTACCCTCTTCCAAACCGTCTGCCCTTTACCTGGGGACTCTCTGCAGCGATGAACACCGGAACAGATCGTCTTGGGAGATTGTGGTGTCTTACATCATCGCAAGTTGTTAAGGTCAAATTAGATGAACTTTAGCCGACAAAGCTGATTCTTGCATGCCGAGGAGTCGACGCGAGTGGCTTTTGCTGGGCCCAGCCTGGCAGCGTGGGCTTTGCTAGACGTCCAGCAGGGAACTTTGAGCCGGCCGGGGGGTGCCGCAGGGGCTGTACAACCCCTTACCGCTCCTCCTGCCCTTGGAGCCAGCCAGCTTTGCTAGGCTGGCTTTCTGGTTATCGACAAGCGGCCGTGACGGCACGGTAGTCTACGCCTGCAGGTACCTCCGACAGCTGGTGGCGAGCCAGGGCTGAGGAGGTTTCTAGGCATCGCTTCCTTCCTGTTGGGAAACTTGCTCAAGCAGACGTCAGACCGCGGCTGTACTGTAGCAAAACACCATCCAGTTGCCCCTGCCCTGGAAACGGGGCACTTCAGCCACAGTACTATTTTCCAGATAAACATTACATATAAAATTGAGGTGCAACAGCCGTCAGATCAGATACAAAGTATTTAATTTTGTATTTACAGTGAGTTATGGGATCAGGATCAAATGAGTTTGTTCGCTTCTGTGGTTTTTTTTCCCCTTCCCACGGTTACTCCCTTAGATAAAAGCAAACGTCACCCATCTCATTTCACCCGATTTCTATTTCTTGCGCTCTGCTCTTGACATTCCTGAATAATACGAG